TTTTTTTGCAGTGTTTGGCCAGGGCTGGGTTTGAACCTGCCACCTCCGCCATATGGGGGCCGGCGCCGCCCTACTCCTTTGAGCCACAAGCGTCGCCCAAACAGTGAAGGATATTTTGTTGTTGTTGTTGTTGCAGTTTGGCCAGGGCTGAGTTTGAACACACCACTCTTGGTATATGGGGCTTACACCCTACTCACTGAGCCACAGGCACCACCTTTTATTTTATTTTATTTTATTTTATTTTTTTTAAGAGACAGAGTTTCACTATGTGCCCTCGGTAGAGTGCAGCTCACAGCAACCTCCAGCTCTTGGGCTCAGGTGATTCTCTTGCCTCAGCGGCCCAAGTAGCTGGGACCACAGGCACCCGCCACAATACCTGGCTATAAATTTGTTGCAGTTTGGCTGGGGCCGGGTTCGAACCCGCCACCCTCGGTATATGGGGCCGGCGCCCTATGCACTGAGCCACAGGCGCCAGCCTTCATTTTCATTTTTAACCATGTACAAGTATTCCTCTCTCCCGTAAGGGTAGAAGTAAAATCTCCAGGCTGGTCACCGTCCAACAGAAAAACGTGCAGCCTGGGGCTGAACCTAAACGGGTTGTCACTTGGAGGCTATGCCTGGGTAAACACCTGGAGGCTTGAGCGGGCCGTGCAAAGATGTCTTTTTCAGCATTTTTGGAAAAATAATAAATGTGCATGGTAGGGATAAAAGGATTTCCAGTGGAAAGAATCCGCTATCCGCTGTCCTGCAACATACATACTCTTCCCTGATCCCTATTCTATAGAAACACCCTTGTGTAATCTTCCCAGAGAGGTCCTCTTCGCAGAGATTTCTGAAGTGCACATTGCCCCAGAGGAGAAAGAGGAACCGAATTGGCGCTAGTTGGAGGCCAAAGACAGCCTACATAAGGTTTGCCCCTACCTCTCCTGGAAAATCAATCCAGATGGCCTGCTGGAGTCCCACTATACGTGACCAGGTCTGCCTGGAGTGAGGTGGGCGGGAGTGAGGATCCTAAGCGTTGGCCACATATGCAACTTTTTTTTTTTTTTGCAGTTTTTGGCCGGGACTGGGTTTGAACCCTCCACCTCCGGCATATGGGGCCAGCGCCCTACTCCTTTGAGCCACAGGAGCCACCCCACAAGTGCAACTTTTGAACTGGAACGTAGTAACTGTGCTTGATGGAAAGATCGTCCAGCGTCTGGCGCTGGAGCAAATGGCGCCCACCTGAGGGCCTAGCCAAGAACCGTTTCCAACGCTGCAGCGCTGAGTGCGTGTGGATGCCCATTGTGTGTACACATGTGCCATCCATGTGAAGACGTGTGCGTGCTGGGTGAGCACACGTGTGCAAGTAGTGTGAACTGTGTTCACACATTATGTGAGGATGTGTGTGCCACGCTGTATGAGAAACTGCACCCTACATCTATACGTACTTTGGGTGTGAGCACTGGGTGGGGTGGTGCGTTTACACCAGGTGCGCATGGTGTGTGCTTGATGCGTGCATTGTATGAACCGTGTGCACGCTGTATGTATGCGCATGCCTTTCTGTGTGCTACGTAAGTACTGCAGTGTGTAAGGACATGCGCACGCGCTGTGAGGATGGTTATGCACCTTGCATGTGCACATTATAGGCGCGCGCACGCGCTGAGAGGACTGTTGTGCTGCACCTTGCAAGCGCACATTACGGGCGCGCGCTGCGTGAGAACCGGTGCGCACATCGCAAGTGCACGCCCTGCGCACGCTGCGTGGGAACCAGTGCGCACACCGCACGTGCACGGCCCGCGCGCGCGCTGCGTGAGGACGGGTGCGCATGCGGACGCGCGCGAGTCCTGGTAGTGCGCGGTGGGTCGGACTGTACGCCTGTGCAGCCGGCGCATCCCGATGGAGCGCGGCAGCGGCTTCGGCGCGGGATCCCGGGCGGAGGGGACTACGCGGGGCTCCCCTCTCTCCGGGAAGATGGCCGAGCCGGGCGCAGTGCGAACCTCGCCACCCAACCACCGGTCTCCAGGTAGGGCCCCCAGAGCGCAGCAGCCCACAGTGGTTTTGGCCCCCCGGGGGGCGGGGCGGGCTGCAGAGGGCAATGGTCCTCTGGCATTGGGGGCGGGGGCAGGGAGCGGCGCGGAGGTTGGTTGAACGCCCTAATCTGGCCGGGGGTCACCTGGCCGCGAGATCCGGAGGCCTCGCCCCTAGCTGTGCAGGTGGTAGGGTCCCCTTCCCGGGTGACCTGGGCGAGTGGGTGCGCCGTGGGGTGGTGGTAAGTGTGTTTGGGATGCAAGTGCCTGACAGGGTTCTGGGGGTCCCCTCCATACTCTAGGAGCAGCTGGCGTGGAGGGTACTGGGATGGAGCGATCGAGCTCCTGGGGGTCGCGCTGGCCTTTGCGCGGGCCCTCTCCGCGTCCTGGGAAACGCGCACGAGCGGCCACTGCAGCCGTGGCGAAGGTGGCTCGGCTTCGCGCTTCTTGGCGTCTACAAGGAGCAAAACTGGCGTGCCATCCAGGGACAGACGGAGGGAGCATCGCCTGTGTGACCATGCGTATGTCCCGGGCCGGGTGCTCCTGTGGCGGGTTTGCGCTACGGGAGGTCTCCAGTATACTGCCTAGGTGTCTGGCCTGGCTCCCTCACGTGGCAGCGCGACAAATGAGTCTCCCAGCCCGCCGCGAGGCTGCAGTTACTGGGAGCCATGGAAGGCTGGTTCCTGTACTGGCTGCCCAGAAACAGGAGATTGTGAGGTCATTTGCAGGGTTTTTCTAGTGCTAGCGTTCTGTAAAGTGGTTGCAGGTAATGCGCGGGGGTGTAAGCAATGTGGAAGCCGATTTCATGCTGTTTTTCCTAGCAACACCTTTTTTTTTTTTTAGTTAATAATGCAAGCTATTTTTAAAACATTTTTTACTGCAGTCCAACATGCATACAAAAAGGCACAAATTTTAAGTGTGTAAGTGTGTGATTCAATCAGTTATCACATGGTGAAGATATTGAACAAGGAAAGGAAAGAAATCAAGGGAAATGTTTTTTAGTCACTTAAAATATGCTTTTTATGGGGGGGCTGTATTCAGATTGGACATTCAGTTGCATTATGCATAGAAGGAAGGGATGGCTTAAATCGTTTCCAGTTTGTGTTTTTCATTATGCTTTTTCTTGAAGGCAAAATTTAATAAACATCACAGGGTAATGACATAACCACCTTTTGAATACATACTTCTGTCTTTATTCTTTTTGCTTGAGAAATTTATACGGCATCTTCCAGGGAAGAACCCAGAGCTCACCCATCACAACCAGCTCTTACTGGCAGAGGGGACCTGGTAGAATAAAATATTAGAAAGGGGAGGTTGTTTAACTTTGCATTTCTATTTCGTTGAGAGTTTTAATAACACATTATTTAGATGTTTTGTTGTACTGAGAGGTGGGGAGGGGCTGTGTGGTTGGACCTTTAGTTTATCTGGGATTTAATTTATTTGAAGGAATTTATGGGAGGATTCTTATTAAGGTCTGTTTGGAAACTTTCTTGCAGGATCATTTTATGGGTTAGCTTAAAACTATTTTTCTTCTTTTGAAATTGGATATATAGAAAGACATGTCATGGAAAGGTTTCCAAGTATTAAACTTCTATGTGCATTAAGGTTGGCGTGGTACTCACTGAATGGGCACAACGTAGGGGCGTATGGTACACCTTTTGGGTGCAGAACATAACTACAAGAGGGACTCTTCCTAACAAATTCAAATATTGTGACTAGGTTGTTCACACCCTCATGTTAGCCTGAAATTTAAAAAAGAAAAAAAAGGTTGATATGGTAAAATTGTAGTGTTTGATTTAGATGCCAGGTGGTAACATGGTTTTTCCTTTTCAGGATTCTTGAGGGCAAGTATTTTATTTATATATATTATATATATACATATATATATATATTTTTTTTTTTTTTTAAGAGATGGAGTCTCACTCTATCACCCCCGGCAGAGTGCCGTGGCATCACAGCTCACAGCAACCTCCAAATCCGAGGCTTAGGCGATTCTCCTGCCTCAGCCTCCCAAGTAGCTGGGACCACAGGCGCCCACCACAATGCCTGGCTATTTTTTTGTAACAGTTTGGCTGGGGCCAGGCCCAAACCTGGTGGGGCTGGTGCCCTATTGCACTGAGCCACAGGTGCCGCCCTGAGGGCAAGTATTTAGATAATGTCATCCTCCAAAAAAACATGATTCTTGAGGTTTTATTATAATTGGCCCTGAATACTGATCATTCTTGGTCACCCACGGCTGAATCATTTGGGGCCTATTCTTAATGAGAATGAACCTACTTTTCTAGAGGGTCAGCCATTGTTGGCAAGCTTGTGCTGCGTGCTACTCATGCTGCAAAAGATAGAAAGGCCTGAAACCTTGGGCTCTCCAGTTTCACGTTGGCACAGTTGAAGGATGGGTTGGCCAGTGGTTTTCTGGGAGCTGTTGCAGAAGAGGGCAAGGGAATACCTCTGGTGGTTTCGTCTGGCAACAAGTGCTTCAGATACTGAAGTCCTGTACATGTTCCCGTTACCCACTAGTGGTGCCTTTCTTTCCTTTTAATTACCCCAGGGACACAAGTTACCAAATGTACTGTTCTTTTTACTGCTTGTGTTCCATAGTATAACAAATGAGCAAGTGCAAGTTACTTGGCTCTGCTTAAATACCTTTAGCCCGCAGATGGAATCACCAGATCTCAAGTGTCACGTCAGACTGAATCATTGTCACACAGGTCCCATGTTCCCCTCGGCCTTAAATATCTCCTTGTCCCCCTTTCCCTGCAGGGATTTACTTCCTTTAGGCTCTCTCAGTCAGAATTCACGAACTTCTCCTGTCTGTCCCTGCAGGACCTCCAGAGTGCTCTTCTTCTGCCTGTGCTACATGAACCTCCCGGTTTTTCTAGGTAGATGCTCACTGGCTATTGCTGTCACTAGAGCTGAATAGCTTGGGGTCCAGACAATCTGGATGTGAATGTCAGCTCTCCCCTTCCTCCGTGTTATACCGGGGAAGTTATTTGACACCTCTGAGCTTCAGTTTTCTCACCTTTAAAATGGGCTTATGAACAACACTGGGGGCTCGAGTGCTGTGTTGAGGTTGAAGAAATTGATATCTGTGAAGCAGTGCTTGACACACAGTTAAGTGCTCAAGCCCAGGTAAGCTATGCTAGATCATTAGCTTGAGGGCCAGGCCTAGGGCCAGGTTCTAGGCTCCCCCTCAGTGCTACTTCTCACCCCTCTCAGAGTTTTTGTGCACAGGTCTGCAGCCACCATTTCCCAATTGCATTATGCTGGGAGTAGCTACACTGGATTGAGTGCTCAGTAAATACTGATGAGTTGGATTAAAGAAGTGTATTGGTGGAGAAGTTTGAGATTATGGAACTGTAAAGCCTGTTTCCTGAGGCCCGTTGAGTTTTCCAGTGCATTCTGCAGATAAATATTGTCTAACTGAGTTAACTCACTTCCCCATTGTTCCTTAGGAAGGAGGGAATTGCTTTGAGGTAAGATGACATTCCCTCGTGTCCCTCAACCTACATATCTTCCATCCTCTGCCCTGGAGCAGAACAACTTAGGAGTACAAGTTAGACATTCCAGAGAACCTAGAGAGGGTGGGACTAAGAGCAAAGGCTGAGAGTTAGGTCCCCAGGAAAGCAGAGTTCTTCTTTTTCAAAGTTGCATTTTTTTTTTTTT